CGCCGTACCCAGGATCTCGTCCAGATGGCGCCAAATCGGGTCATAGGAGGCCCTTCAAGTTAATGCGCTAACCCACTCTTCCTTGAATAAGCGCCCATTATTTTGGGGCCTTTCTAGGCTTGAAGTCCCATTTGGTGCCTTGAGGTCATATGATTTATGTTTTAGGAAAACCCACGGGCGCCTTAAACGGCAAAACAATATCAGAGCCTTCCGCTTTGGGGGGTGAGGAGGGAGGAGAGGGGGGGGGGTGAACACGGCATGCAGGGGTGCCAAGACCCCTAACCCCCTTGACTGCGCATTGTTTGAGGCCCATGCTCCGTCCGGGAGCACGTGCTACGGTTACTACCTCGTAATCGCTGTCGATGAACATAGAGCATTGCTGCCTGAGAGCTGAGAAAGTCATGCATTGTAGCGGAAACAAGAGAGATACCAAGAGCTGGAAGTGTTTGGAAGGAAAGGTAAGAATAGACTGGGAACGAAAAGGGGAAGAAAAAAGAACAAGCTGACATATGTGTATGTGTGAAAAAAGAGAGAGAGAAAAAGAGAGAGAGAGAGAGAGAGAGAGAGAGAGAGAGAGAGAGAGAGAGAGAGAGAGAGAGAGAGAGAGAGAGAGAGAGAGAGAGAGAGAGGAAGAGGAAGAGGAAGAGACAGAGAGAGAAAGAGAGAGAGAGAGGGGGGAGAAAGAGTGAAAGAGAGAGAGAGAGTGAGAGTGAGAGAGAGAGTGAAAGAGAGAGAGAGAGAGAGAGAGAGAGAGAGAGAGAGAGAGAGAGAGAGAGAGAGAGAGAGAGAGAGAGAGAGAGAGAGAGAGAGAGAGAGAGACCGGTTGCCGCCGTGCAGGCCGTTGACACCGGACCGGTCGTGGCACTCGGCGCACCACGCGCCACGCGTGGCCCAGTTGCCGGGTGCGTGCCACCGCCGTCGTTCCGAGTCGTCGGCCTCTGTTTGTTGCAGCCGGCCGTCGACCCTTCCGCGGCCAGCGCGTGTTCTGCCCAGCGGCAGCGGCAGCGGCGACGGCGGCGGCGGCTGTGGCGGCGGTAAACAGGCCGACAGTTGCGCAATGTGCGTGCAGGTCGGAGCTCAGTGACCGGCGGTGACGGCTGGCCAGGCCGGTCGGATAAGAGACGCGTCGGCGGCGGGCAGACGGCGGCCGGACGCGACTGATTGGCCGACGGCGGAGGTAACGAACCGGACGGCGCCGGCGACAGGTCAATTAGAGGGCCGCTGGCGGGAGCAGCGCTGGCCCGACGGCGGCCCGGTATTGCTCCGAGCGGCCCCGAGTGCCGGTCACCGGCGCCAGACAATGGGCAGGGGACGTGTCACACAGCCAGCGCACGGCAGCGCGGCTCGGCTGGTGGACTGGTGTCCGTCAGGGGGGGGGGGGGGGGACAGGGCGCCTTACACCGCCTGCAGACAATGGCGCGTGGAACAGGTCGCGGGTCGCAGGACAAGGTCGCAGGTCGTAGGACAGGTCGCAGGACAGGACAGCAGTCCGAAGTACGAGTCACGCTGAGTCGGGCTTGCCAATCCCAGGCAGACACCACCCCGTGGTGTGGACATGGGCAAAAAAGTAGATGAAAGCATTAACGCGCGGGCGAACCGGCACCACCCGTGCACCTTTATCAGCATGTGGCAGCACGTTGTCCGTGAAAGAAACAGTCCAGGCCCCATGCAAATTGTTTCAGGCAATTCGGCTGGTTCTACAGACAGTGCCTGCCGCGGCGCATGAACTGGTGCCGGGCTTGCAGGAGAGTAACTTGTAGCTGCAGGACTGAGGTCCGGTCGGGTATTGCAAACTATAGCATGAGGTCAAGATGTGACGAAGACGTATATTCGGCTGCAATACTATGTCGATATGTTTTGTAAGCGCGGACCACGATTAAGTGTGAACAGCGACATATATTCCAATCAGACGTGTTCGTTCGAACCTCGAGCCATCCAAATGCTAACGGGACGATTTTCCAGCATCCGAAATCTTCGTCGTGATGTTTTTGAGACATCTTTCAATTTAAAATCCGTACGTTTTTCTCTAATATGGTCCATACAGTATCCATTTTGGTGGATGCTTTCTAAAGGTAGGTCGTCCGAAGGGCCCTGTGATTGTGGTTTGCACTTTTCTAAATACAAAGCTTGAAGCACAGGGGACTACCCAGGTCACCGTACTTCTGGCAACAACAGGCTCTGGTACATTTCTGCTCTGACATCCAGCCATCTGATTGGTTAGATCTAGTGCTTGAGGAATGCGCACGGCGGTGACACCTATTTCCTCAAAGTTATCCTACACCGGTAGATTTAACGGTTTCCCGAATGGGACAGATCGCCGACTGATTTTTCGCACGCACGCACCTGTTAATAGCAGAAGAGCTTTCCCTAAACCAAAGAACATGTTGAGTATCTCCAGCTGATTTAAACTTCTGGATTTATTTCAAGTTTGCCGACTTTGCTCCCAAAATCATTGGTATAAAAATATGGCATTTCTTATCCTAAGCCGCGTCCTCTTGAGATGTGGGTTCCATTTGAAGAATTATATTGATAATTCAAAAATGGCAAAAAAGAATCTATGAAGACAATTAAAAAAGCCCTGCTTCCAGCATACAAGACTTCTCATTAGCTTTGTCTGAAGATGCAGTGTGATCCGGAATTTTCCGGCATGCACGCGCGTATTTGCATTTCGACCAATGCGAAAACATGCAGCGATCAGTGCAATCTAAACAGCTCGATAGCTCTTGTTGAGTGGAAAAACCCCTTAAGTTCAAGCTTACGCAGACATGTGCATCATACCCACCTCGCGACGTTTGTACGGGGTGTTTGGTGTGGCTTACCTAAAACAAAAAGTTGTTGATTTATGTGATGGCAATGTTCATCGGATGGAAACCCAGGCACGACAAAGTCGGTCATTCTCTGACTTGTGGTAAAACCAGTTCTTGGTCGTAATTACCAGTAACCTGCTGACATTTACTCCCAGTGAGACAGGTGCAGCCTTATCCAGCACCGCCAGCCAAAGGACAAGGGATGTCTGCTGCGGCAGGCCATGTACATCTGGCTGGTGCACGCCTCGGTTGCGATCTCATGATGCTGACTTTCCGGCGCTTAAGAACTGCTATCTCAAGTGTTTCCCAGAAGGTGCGTGGCTTTCGCATACGCGCGTCTAGATTTAGCAGAAATATTTTTGGAAGCCATTTGACGAGAGGAAAATAACGGTGGTTGGGCGAGATGAGCTACGCTCTAGTAGTGCCTAAGCGTGTACCAGAGACACCTACCGACAACTTTACCCACCACGCAGCCAGATGACAAGAGGGAGCCACGGGCGCCAGCGGGCACATCCACGATTAGAGAACGCCAGCTGAGAGCCCGGGACCACCAACAGACCTTAGGTAACGAAGGCTTTCAAACTGGGCATGTGAATAGCCACCGTTTATCTGATGCGCCATAGTCCATGTCCACACCTAGCCACAAAGTGGGAGGAATCTGAATGGCGTTGAATCGCGAGCGTCCAAACGGCCGGTCAAATGCAGGACGTGTGATACTCCCGGTAGTTCGGTTCTTCATCAGTACTATTCACTAGCTGCCCCGAACACTCGTCACGCTGGCTTCATGACAGTGGTCCAGAGCGACTCACAGCTAAGGATGATTCAGAAAGACCGCCTTTTATTTGACGTGTCGCTGCGGCGGCGCATTTGTTCGACCAGTCGCATGTACACAAACGCTCGGCGCCCCTGCAGCACGCCCTGCGGCACCCGTACATAACAATGCCTACTTATCTCGCTTTCTGGCCAAGTCACAAGGCGACAAACACGCTTCGTAAAACAACCGCTGCTCCTCGCCACGGAGCCGCAGAGACGCAGAGCGAGACACACGCTGCCCGCACCGCCCTGGGGCACAGAGGCACGGCGTCGCCGGGTGAGCCGGGCCGGGCCGGGCCGGGCGGGCCACGCCGCGGGCACACTGGCAGCGGTCCGCGCGTAAAACCACGGCACACCTCTCTGGCCGGGCGCGGCGAGACAGGCCGCCGCCGCGGGACCGCGCGCTCGCCCCGCAGCGCCGGACGCGGCCCAGCCACATACATCATCCGTCAATGTCATACGAGTTATGGACACGGCACCACCGGAGAGCGCGGAGGCCCCGGTACCGTCGCCAGCGGCGTGCGAACACCATCTGGTGACGGGTCATTGCAGTCAGAGGTCATAGGGCAACCCACCGGTCAAGCACAATATACACTGAGAGACTGTTTGTAGGGGACCTGACAGCGCTCGTCCACCACTACCAACGGTCCGTCACCCGGAAGCAAACTCATGCAACGCGAAGACGGCCGTCAGAACAAACACGGTCGGCATCAGCAGCTTTCAAGACATACGCATTCACCTAAAATAATTTAAACCGTAAGACGGGAGCCGAAAATACACATTAAAAGTCATCCATGTGTCGAACGACTCTTGTTAAAAGACGCCTGTCCACTCATAAAATATACACATGGTAAATGAGAACAGTATAGCACTTCATTGGCGTCAGGACAATGCACACGATAAATTTAAAGGAATGCAAGGCTCACACCGAACCCTCGCATTGAGTCACAGAGCACACATATCTGCGATGATGATGACGCGATGATGTGAAATATACGGCTACCACGCAATGGCCACCGTGCGGGGGAGCTCTCTGGCTTCCGCTCCGACTTCGGTGAAAGTCTGCTAACTCGAGGCAAGTCCACTGCGCCGGTCAGACCAGGCGAGGCCAGGCTAGGCCAGGCTAGGCCAGGCGAGGCCAGGCGAGGCCAGGCTGGGCCAGGCTGGGCCAGGCGAGGCCAGGCTGGGCCAGGCTGGGCCAGGCAAGGTCAGGCGAAGCCAGGCGAGGCCAGGCCAAGTCAGGTCAGGTCAGACCGAGGCGTTCGACACATGCCTGCACGGGCAGACGGCGACACCAGGCGCCACCCGCAGGCAACCGCCGCGGAGTGCGGCACGCCACAGCCGCCCGCGCCGCCCGCCGAGCCCGGCAGCGCGCTCTGCCGTCGGCGCCGCGCGGCTCCCGGCGGCGGGCGGGGCCGCTCACACGCGCAGGATCTCGAGCACGCGGCTGTAGCAGATGCTGATCCACTCGGGCTGCGTGGCGCCCCACTGGATGCCGTTGATCTCGCCGTCGGCGGCCGTGTAGGCCAGGATCGGGTCCTCGATAGAGCGCGGCACCTGCCGGCCGCAGCGGCGGCGCCGGGTCAGCGGGCGCCCGACTGGCAGCGAGGCAGAGCGGCACATCGTGGGGCAGCGAGTGCGACAACGCGGAGACGCGGCCAGTGCGGGAATAGCGTTGGGACAAGAGCACAGCCAGCGTCAGCGAGACGCCCAGACACGAGGCAGAGCAGCTGGAACTACGACTCGTTTCCTACGTTCGTGTTCAAGCTGGTCTCTGCGGTTCGTTCCCGGTGGAGCCCGTGACCCCATCCGCTACCCATGTCCGCCGGCGCCGGCGCCCGACCCGCTGAGTCCGCGCGCTGACCTGCTGGATGTCCCAGATGAGTGCCTGATGGTCGTCGCCGGCCGTGCAGATGTGACACGAGGAGTGCGGCGCCCAGGCCACGCCGTTCACGCACGCCCGGTGGTTGCTGAGCCGTGCCACCGGCGTGCACGGCACGCGCACGTCCAGGATGATTACCTGCCGGCCAGTCACGGCGGGGTCACGGACGACAGTCTTGTGAACGCGGCGACTCGTGGCTAGTCCGTGGGCGCCGCGCTGTGCTCAAAGGCGAGCACAACAGCCCCGTATCGGGCCACGCCATTAAAAGACTAGTGTCCTCTGTGAGCACCGTTCCGCGCTGGCCCACGGCAAAGCGACGTCGATCCTAGGTGTCACCTTCAGACAATTGCCACGATGTCCGCCCCGCGGTATGATCTCATCTGCAATCAACGCATACTTCCATCCAATTTAAGTCTGCCTGTTCGCTACAAGCCCGTGACAGCAGCCGCACACAGGGCAGCAACAGTCGCGAGTAATCCCCCGCCCGCCGCTCGCTGCAGGATTGCGAGGAAAGCCGGCTGGACCGGACGCGCGTCGGCCACCAGCCGACACGTTATGGCACCACCAGCAGTCCTTCCACCCGACCGTCGCTATCACCGAGGTGACCCGACGAGAGCCTGACCGTCTTTGGTGGTCAGCGTCTCGTCCCTATGCCGGCCCAGTGTGCGAGTATAATATCCACCCATAGTGTGAGGTTATTGTCTCACCGCCGCCCCTCCCCTCCCACCCACCTGCGCGTGCCGCCCTACAGCCTCACCTCGCACGAGTCCATGGCGATGGTGGCCAGGATGTTGGGCTCCTGCTTGTTCCATGCGAGCCGCAGCAGCGGCGTGTGGTGGGGGTCCTCGTAAATGATGGTCGAGTGCTCTAGGTGACGCAGGTCGAACATGCGCACAGAGCCGTCGGCACCTGCCCGCCGACGCATAGCGCTCAAAGGACAGCAGCGGAAGCAGCAGCATGGACAGGAGCGACAGTGTACAGGGGTAACAGCGTTAACAGGAGCGACAGCGTTAACATGAGTGACAGCGTGGACAGGAGTGACAGCGTGGACAGGGGCGGCAGCGTGGACAGGGGTAACAGCGTTACAGGAGCGACAGCGTTAACACGAGTGACAGCGTGGACACGAGCGACAGCGTGGACAAGAGCGGCGGCGAGGACGTGAGCGACAGGGTTAACAGAAGCGGCGGCGTGGACAGGAGTGACAGCGTGGACAGGAGTGACGGCGCCGCCATAGGCCGGCGACACGGCTCGAGGGTGTCAGCCGCACTGTCGCGAACGTCGGCATAGCTTGCTGGTGATGCTCCGCCCAGACTCCACGCTTCACGCTCGCCTTTGTGGACGACGACGCACTAAGCGCGTGCCGCTACTCTAGTTTCATTCTCCGGCGTCTCCCACTGGCCAGCAAGCCCACTGAAGTCGTGCCACGTTTCCGCTTCACGCCAGCGCAGCTCGTCATCTAGCTAGATCCGGTCGGCCCGTTAATGCCGGCGCCCGGGGCCTCCGGGAAGGGACGCTCACCGACTGACGCGAACATGTCGCGGCCGCCGCCGGCCCGGCTGAACGCGATGTCGTAGACCTCCTTGTCGTGGGCGATCAGCTGCGTCTTAACGTGGCCCGACACGGGGTTAGTGCGTCCCAGCACCTGGCCTGGGGACAGTCGCGCCGGGGCAGGTCAGGTCACAGACCGGCGAGGTTGGGACGGGGAAGGTCATCAGCTAGATCAGTGTTCTCAGGTATCGCAGTCTTCCATAAAGTCCCCGCGAAATGTCAGTGTGCGATCCACAGCTAACGGTAGTACACTTCTTTCGGATATCCAGCAGTGGAGCCGTCATCTTCTTCTCACTTCGGACACATTTTAATGCCTGGCGTGAGGCATGCAGTAGGGATGAGAAGAACAATCGCTGCAAGTGTTCCTCCACAAATCTGCCTCTGGCCTTCTCCACAAACGAGTTGTCCGCTTTCCCAAGCAATGCGAACAGACAGGCACGTTAGCGTATGTACGCATAAACCCCCTCCGTCAATTCAAATACGTAACATGCTGGCATATCTCAGAAGCAAAATCCGATGCTAATCATATCGAAATGTTTCGGGGAAAAAAACGCTGCTGACGGACGGAGCACTCTCCACATGTTGGGAACGGCCGTCCCATAACTGTCGTTCTCATGCTCTCTGCAGCCCGTTCCGAAGCTGGTGTGCCGCGGGACAACAACCAAACGGTCCCAGTCCAGACACAGAAACGCTTCCGCAAGCCCCTCAGCAAACGGTACGAACCCATATACTTTAATTTGACAGCGCACCACGAGAGGCGTCCCAGCATCTCCCGGACCGGGCGGTTAAGGCCTACGAGTCCACCAGTGCGCCGGAGGGGTACTCTCCGGCGGCATGCCAACTGACTGCGACGGCAAGGCGCAGCGGCAGGGTACAGAGCGACATTCGGACAACACAGCGACACAGCACACGGACGCGACTGTGCGGTTCTTCCGCACGAGCCAGCGAGGCGGCTAAGCGCGTTCGGCCGGGCGGCGTACCTGTCTCCAGGCCCCAGATGGTGCACGTCGTGTCGATGGATGAGGTGCCAATCAGGTTCAGGTCCACCTCGTTCCAGTCAAATGACGTCAGAGGCGCGCAAAAGTCCGAGTTCTTGTTCTGAAATATTAAAAAACTGGCTAGCACGCGAAACTCCACGTCTTTGTCCCCAAACAAGACGCAGCTCACAGACACGCAAAGTTAGTGTTCTTGTTCCGAACAAACAACCACGAAAACAGCACGCTCAGTGTAAATGTCACTCAGAAACTCGTCTGTGCAAAAATCCCCAGGCCTTCTCCTTAAACCAGGCGCAGAAGTAGTTCTAGGAGTTAACGCTGCGGCTCAAAGTGTGGTAGTCTATATTACATCGACGTGCAAGCTTTTGACACCAAAACTTTAATGTTGCATTCGTTAAATTTCCCTGTATTTACTTTCACGGTGAGGAATGCAAAGGATGCAAACAACAGCCATCACTGCATACTTGCTGGCATAAAACGCCTTCCACACACTTCCACACACTTACTTGATTCGACAACTTGGCTCTTGGTCTTACATATGCACAGCACTTCCACCTCTACTTTATTTTTCTTAGGCACTAACTCGATTTTAAACACCCTCTGAGACCATAACTTATCCTTAACGCCAGCTTCCGCAGAAATTTCCATTCACACACCAACTGAAACTGTCAAAAACTATTCTCATCTCACCCCAGATAAGGCAACCTCTTATTCCCTCTCAATGCATTTCTTCACCTCCCTACGGCAGCTTTTTTCCCAATCCTCGCTGATGTCTCGGGAGCGTCCTCGTGACGCAGCAGCGTGCTCCGAACCCACAAGGTGCAGACGGCGCAGAAAGTGGACCTTCAAGACGGCTACGCCCCGTTGCACAAACAAGATGAGTATTTTTTCGTTGAACACGGCGCGAACTGTAAAACATAAGCTAGCGTTGCCCACAAGCTGACTGTGGATACTGACATTGAGGCATAAACACCTCTATTGTATTTGGCGCGGGATCAGCGGCGCCTCCGACCGAATCAGCTCTACGGCCGGCGGTCCTCGCCGCAGCACGCAGCCCACTCACGTTGTTGAGGACGCACTCTAGCCGGGTGTCGGGCTCGCCGGCCCGCCAGATACGCAGGTAGTCGCCCGAGGTGGCCAGCAGGTCCGGATACACGCCCTTCTGCAAGACGAACCGACATCGGGGACGGTACAGCGCGGCGGCACCGGAGACGGTACAGCGGGGTGGCACAGGGGACGGTACAGCGGGGTGGCACAGGGACGGTACAGCGGGGCGGTGCAAGAGACGGTACAGCGGGGTGGCACAGAAGACGATACAGCGGGGCGGCATTGGAGTCGGTACAGCGGGGCGGCACCGGAGCCGGTACAGCGGGGCGGCATCGGAGACGGTACAGCGGGGCGGCATCGGAGTCGGTACAGCGGGGCGGCACAGGAGACGGCACAACAGGGCGGCACAGGAGACGGTACAACAGGGCGGCACAGGAGACGGCACAATAGGGCGGCACAGGAGACGGCACAACAGGGCGGCACAGGAGACGGCACAACAGGGCGGCACAGGAGACGGCACAATAGGGCGGCACAGGAGACGGCACAACAGGCGGCACAGGAGACGGCACAACAGGGCGGCACCGAGAAACGGCCACAATAGGGGCGGCACAGGAGAACCGGCACAACAGGGCGGCACATGAGACGGCACAACAGGGCGGCAACAGGAGAGGTACAACAGGGCGCAACAGGACGGCACAATAGGGGCGGCACAGGAGACGGCACCAGGGCGGCACAGGAGACGCACAACAGGGCGGCACAGGAGCGGTACAAGGGGGACAGGGCGGCACAGGAGACGGCACAATAGGGCGCACAGGAGACGGGCACAACAGGGGCGGCGCAGGAGACGGCACAACAGGCGGCACAGGAGGAACGGTACAGCGGGGTGTCACCGGAGAAGGTACAGCGCGGCGTACCGGAGCGGTAAAGTGGGGCGCAGCACCGGAGACGGTACAACGGGACGGTACAGAGACGTACAGCGCGGCGAGATCGAAGATGGTAAAACAGCGGGGTGGCACCGGGGACATTATGGCGGGGCGGACAGGACGCGGT